TGTACCAACAGGAGTCCAAACTATGGTACACTACATGGACAACCTGACTGGTATAATATGGACAGTGTTATAGAGAAGAGTAACTTACACATATTGAAACAGCAATCACACATTGACTTTTAAACTGAACGTAGATGAATTATTCTACAACACTTTTGAATCACATCATAACATAGTGTTCTTGTTATAGCATAAAGCATCCTCTCACCTGGCTGTGTTATGTGGGCGTGTACAGGTGCACACAACATTATGAATATTCAACACCTTTAATTAGTTTGTCGCACATAGGATTTGTCAGTTTAATTGTTGTGGCAGAGTGAGCGAGTGTTGACTGTTGGAGCCGTGTTGTCAATACCTGATGTGAGATCATTTCTGTAGTGACTCAGTCTGTCCATCAATATTATAGATAGTGTCATAGGTATTGATATTCTGCAAATTATTCTTGTGTTCAGTGTTAATACATATTGTGTTCTGTGTTGTGTTGACGTTTGAAGTTATTGATAATAGGTCTGTTATATTGATATTTAGTTAAGTTAGTTTTGATTAGTATTTATTGTTTTGATTAAGATGACGTCTTGTATGTTGTTAGTAGATGATACGTGTACAGTACTGGTATTATTGATCGGTAGTTAACGATTCAACAGTACGACATACAACCTCGGGGTAGCTGGAGTGGTTCTCTTTAAGGCCGATGTATTGCTCTACAGACAAGTCCTTTCTGTTACAACACTGTCACACACACACACAACTCTTGATGGCGTGGCACTGTCTCCTACACCTGGTGATGTTCTTAAGAGTTTTATTTTTCTCACCTGGTTGTGTGTCTCATGTTGTATATCTTTTTTCCCATTAATTATTTCCATTTTTCCCCCATTTTATCTTTTTAACTTAATATTAACAGCATCATGTCATAATTAACGAATAAGCAGATCAAGTTGATGCAGAGTCGAGTCCCGTATTGATAAGCTTCCATCTGTCTCAACTTGCTTCGGGCCTCAGAAAAATCCCCTTATGTTGACGATCGTGATAACCTGTAGTAAGACCTCAGTGTGCCTCTTTAAGGAGTCTTGGCTTTATGCCGGAGGATGATTTTTATAGATTCAGGGGTAACATCGCTGTGTTATGATTGGCTGAGAGATATGTGTCTGTGTGGTGAGAAGCTATTGTTATTGGCTGTTACAAATGGTGAGACTATAGTGGAGGCTTTCATTGTTGACGTCAGTGGTGATAGTGACATCTGACAGTGTTCGATCTAGTAATACATGGACCAGGTTTGTTTATGGTGCTCGTAGTGTAGTGTCCGTGGTGTGGCGTCATATTGAGGTAGACGTTCAGAACACCGCATACTGAACGTGCTGTCCAGAGTCTGTGTGTGACCCCCAGAGTAACCAGACCAACACAGTGATGCTCTATACCAGCTGAACGATACAAAAATCACACAACTGATTGTCAGACGTGATTTGGGTGAAACATACACATTCCCCGCGTAGGTCTGTTCTTTATCCAGTTGGCCAATTAAACAACCAGTGTCTGTAGAGGGGACTGGGAGGGAAACACATTTTTATTATGCCGTGTAACTCGTGTTCATACAGCAGCACAAGCTCGTTTACGTGTATAACTGTGTATAGAGAGTGAGCCATTTTTATTATAACTTTAGTGTGGGTGTATATATATATATACCATGTAAGATATCCTTCGCTCTTGTAACATAACGAAATTAAATTAGTTTAGGTTAGGTTAGGTTAGGTTAGGTTAGGTTAGGTTAGGTTAGGTTAGGTTAGGCTAGGTTAGGTTAGGTTAGGAAAAACATTTATTTATCAAAGAAAAAACAGGAAACCTAAGCAAGTTGGCCGGCTCTCAGTGACCAGCAGAGAGGACAAAAGTTTTCCTCTCAGGTAGGTCCCTCGGTGGACAGGACAAAAGTCTTGGTGGCAGATAAGCAGTTCTCTCAGTGACCAGCCAGCCGGGAGGACACAAGACCTCAGTTGTTAGTTACGTGTGTTATCCAGTGACCTGTTAGTTAGCTGGGTCTCTTACACCACATACGAGTACATAACAAAATCAATTACAATTTAACTATCCTTGAAGCACCTTAAGAAAATTGAATATTATAACTGAACTTTAAAACCATGAAATATTAAAAGCTAAAAAAACAATTATCAAGTCGCCACACAAACTCAGAACTTAACAGTAGAGACAATTAGGCAGAGATAAGCAATTACATTATATACGGACAATTAAATTACTCAGCAATTAACAACGGTAGAGGAGTCGTCTGTGTGTGTGTGTGTGTGTAGAGCGGTAAAAGGGAACATATTAATAAGTTTATGCCTCAACCTAGTGTCATCAGCCATTCCAGTCTGAATTAAATATTGAAACATTTTTCCAGGAATGTTTTGTGTTCAGTTTTATTTTGAGGATAATTTGCATACAATGAGTGTAGAGTTTCAGCTGTCGAGTGAACAATAACGGGGAGCAACTTTAATTGAAACAACAATCATATTTCTCTCTCTCTCTCTCTCTCTCTCTAATATACTTGATCAACATACTAGACCAACATACTAGCCAACATACTAGACCAACATACTAGACCAACATACTAGACCAACATACTAGCCAACATACTAGACCAACATACTAGCCTAACACACCCCACTTGTCCATTAAATCTTCCTATGGTAAAGTCTTTATGATCGTTCATTGAGAAATTCGATGACATGTAGAATGAATCAGCATTTTATTGTCTATGAGAAAGAAAGAATGAAAGAAAGAAAGAAAGAAAGAAAGAAAGAAAGAAAGAAAGAAAGTATAATTTACTTATATATTATAGAAGTAAATAAAGTTGTTTACTTAATCTCCGTTGAGCGACAAGTGTTAAGAGACGAACTGTAGCCCCGGCCTGGCTGCTGGGGCCCGGGGCGACGACGCTCTTGTGTTGACGATGATACTGCAAACGTTTGAAGATGGTCTGATTGTTAAGACCCCTGTCATTACTGCGTCTCACCACCCCCCTCTCTCTCTCTCTCTCTCTCTCTCTCTCTGTGCCTTATAAGTTCTTGACCACAGAGGAGCAAGAGGCACAGATCTGGAGGACCCAACACCTGTGATCTGGAGGAGCCAACACCTGTGACCTGGAGGAGCCACTACCTGTGACCTGGAGGAGCCAACACCTGTGAAGCTTCTATTTAACGGACTATATGAAGAGGAAATTCCGTTATATCGAGGGACCATTAGATACGAAACCCCCATCTAACGGATTACAGGGTGAGATAAGTCCGTTATATGAAGGTTTAAACTGTAACTTCTAAATAATATCACCGTAAATCCATTTCAACTTAGGTAACGCCCAGACCAGTAACTCTGACGTCTGTATTCAGTAGATTCTGTCACGCAACTGACAATCAATTCATCTCCTGGAGTGACGATTGATTCTCTGTATTATAATTAGTCAACTGCCTCATCCTCTACTCCGGAAAACTTTGGATCTTCACTGAGTCAAAATGTCGTTTAGAAAAAGTTATTTGTTAATGTGATTTTTTTTTTTTTTTAGAGGTTAAAGGAAATTAAGGTGAAGCATCAGAGGGGTGTTTTATAAAGGAGGGGGGAGGAGGAGGAAGAAACGAGAAGACAACAATGGATATCTGCCAAAAAATGTCAATCTCTGGTTCTCTCTCTTCCACATCTTGCATCAGCCTCCACAAGGTCACACACACACACACACACACACACACACACACGTTTGGACACGCTTCACTGTTCCTCGCTTAATGGAAAAAAACAAATTGAATGTTGCTCACCCCGACTGAAGACATGACCAACCAGCCTCGAGGCGTCCTAAAGGTGGATTCCTGGTGTAATGATGTTGAGAGAGAGAGAGAGAGAGAGAGAGAGAGAGGAATGTTTGATTGAGACACGAAGTAGGAACCCGACAAGGAAGTAATTGGGAAAGGCACGAGACTTCTTCTACTGTACATAACTCTGGTGGTTCTATCTAGATTATTATTGGTACTATGAACTTCTTATTTATCTATAGTATCTGTCAATCTCTATGTCTTAAGATGAGGTACAATCCTTTGATGTTTATTTTGTTCTTTTCTAAACTCTTGAGTATTTAATAGTAAACATTCTCTTAGTTATGAAGTGGTAGTTAGTTCTCTCTTAACTCATCTTCAATCTGTTCATAAATTTATTAAGCTTTAATTTTATAGGAAGCTTCTGTAATGTATGCAAACTTCTTCAAAGCTGACGGCATTTAAAGTCGCCTCACACAACTACCTCCTCGGTTTAATTATTTATTGGTATTATTTTCCACATTAATTTATGGTTGCATGACGCTGTGCTGTGCTGTACTGAGCTGAAACCTTGTCGCTTAGCTCAGACATGGGACCAAAATCGAAGCCGAAGCTATAGGAAAGTCACAAAGCCGAAGTCGAAGCTATAGGAGAGTCACAAAGCCGAAGTCGAAGCTATAGGAGAGTCACAAAGCCGAAGTCGAAGCTATAGGAGAGTCACAAAGCCGAAGCCGAAGCTATAGGAAAGTCACAAAGCCGAAGCCGAATCCAGGTGTATTTTTTGAGCTGGTCAACCTTCTGTGTAGTTAAGAGTGTTTCACAGCAGTTTGTTAAGTCTTAGAGTACTTTAGTTTCCATCGTAGAAAATTTGTGCTACTAACGACTCTATCAGGTTGTTCGTAGTCCGTCAGTATAGTGTGGAGAGAACTAATAGCAAGTCAAAAATTCTCAATAATGTATCAATTTTGGGTTTGTTTTTTTAGTATAATGAACTTTCAAGTGTCATTAAGGTTTGCCAGCGCCTTTATTAGAGCTGGAAAGGTTGTATAAAATGAATAATATCACGCTGAGAAAAACTATTGTAATCTTAAGTTATTTCCGCTGAGAGAAATGTTAAAGTTGATGTAGAAAAACTAATTATACATTTTCTCATTAAAGCTTCTCATGAGCGGCAGCCGTCTGATGGTGTGAGCTTCCCGTGATGCTTCCTCAAGCTTCATCCTCCACTGTAAACCTTTCATACCAGGACTTATGTCTCACATCCTTCAATCCTGGCTTCCCATCCTGCCACCGTGTAAGCTGGCCATTCTGCCACTGTGTAAGCTGGCCATCCTGCCACCGTGTAAGCTGGCCATCCTGCCACTGTGTAAGCTGGCCATCCTGCCACCGTGTAAGCTGGCCATCCTGCCACCGGGTAAGCTGGCCATCCTGCCACTGTGTATAAGCTGGCCATCCTTCCACCGGGTAAGCTGGCCATCCTGCCACCGTGTAAGCTGGCCATCCTGCCACCGGGTAAGCTGGCCATCCTGCCACCGTGTAAGCTGGCCATCCTGCCACCGGGTAAGCTGCCCATCCTGCCACCGTGTATAAGCTGGCCATCCTTCCACCGGATAAGCTGGCCATCCTTCCACCGGATAAGCTGGCCATCCTGCCACCATGTAAGCTGGCCATCCTGCCACCGGGTAAGCTGGCCATCCTGGTGAGCGGCCATCAGTCACCAGCGGTGATATAAGCCGCGGCTCATCACACTTCCCACAACGCCGACAAATAATTAATTTCCCGCCGCTCTCAAACTTCCAGCCAATTACTGGCGATGGATTTTTTTTTGTTCAAGTTCACACATTTTGTGGCGAGAAATGTTGGCGAGGCGAGGCGAGGAGAGGCGAGGCGAGGCGAGGCGAGGAGAGGCGAGGAGAGGCGTCTTCAGGACGGATCTTCCCTGTGTCCTCTCCTCTTGTTCAACATTATTAACGTAAGAAAGATAAATGTGTGTGTGTGTGTGTGTGTGTGTGTGTGTGTGTGTGTGTGTGTGTGTGTGTGTGTGTGTGTGTGTGTGTTGGAGGAAACGTCTTTCCCTGAATCTTCCTTTATTGTCAACCTTCCTCCCCTCGCTCCCTTCCTCCCTCACTCCTCCCCTTACTCTCCCCCTCACTCACTCCTCATTCCTCCCCTCACTCCACCCTCACTCCACCCTCACTCCTCCCCTCACTCCTCCACTCACTCTCCCCCTCACTCCCTCCCTCACTCCCTCCCTCACTCCCCCTCACTCTCCCCTCACTCCTCCCCTCATTCATTGGGTCAGTGGTATGTTTCAGGGTCTCTTTTAATCTCAGTCAATAACCTTCGAAAATAGGTGTGTGGGGGGAAGTGTGAGGGGGAGGGTGTGGGGAGTGTGTGGGAGTGTGAGGGGAAAGGTGTGGGGAGGGTGTGGGGAGGGTGTGGGGGGAGTGTGTGGGGGAGGGTGTGAGGGAGTGTGAGGGGGAAAGTGTGTGGGGGAGGGTGTGGGGGTGTGGGGGAAGGGTGTAGGGGAGAATATGGAGGAAGGATTAAACGACTTCTATACCATAATATAATTCTCTTCCTGTGACACGTTCTGGTTGTCTCCTGTGACTTGAGTTTCCATTACCTTCTCACAGCCATGAATACGAGTTTATTTTATGAATTAAATCCCTAATGATGGGAAAATATCGGGTTTCTTCAATGTTATGTGATGTATAATTAGTATGGAGTGTTTTCATGGCATCTCTCAGTTACCCTTAGTTACCCTCAGTTACCCTTAGTTACCCTCAGTTACCCTTAGTCACCTCAGTTACCCTCAGTTACCCTTAGTTATCCTTCCTTCGTTCCACACATATCCTTACAGAACAATAAGTGTAGTGTATGGATAAACTCGTACATGACACACACACACACACACACACACACACACACACACACACACACGTTATAGTAAAGAGTCGTCGTCATTGTTGCTGTCTCTCACTGAACTTTATTGGCTTCACCTCCTCCCCATAATAACCACATAGTTTTTGTCTTGTTATTGTGGTCAGATAAACTCTTATGTGTGGGTGATCAACTCCGTCTGTCCCTCTCCCTCTGTCATAACCAGCTAGCCTTCACCCCCCACCACCTGCGTCACAGCCAGCCAGCCTTCACTCTTCTTCTTCCCTCCGTCACACCCAAGCTTCACTCTCTCCCTCTCCCAACACACCCAAGCTTCACTCTCTATTGAATTGGCTTCGCAACACAAAAAAAGGCCACAAAATCGTTACAAGATGTACAAAAGTGTAAGAGGCTTTTATGGTTCGGCTGTTAGAGTTAAAGGTGGGTAAAAATATCTAGTTCACCTCCGCAATTTGTTTTTCTACCTTACTGTAAAAAGTGTTGCCCTCGTTCTCAAATGGTTCCGTCCAAAATGACCAGAACTGCTGTATTGGTGGTGGTGGTGGGGGGGGGAGGGGGAGGGGAGGGGAGGGTTTATAAACATTCACAAAGGTAAATAAAGGTTTAAAATCGTTTGGATGGAGATGAAATGGGATGATTGACATAGAGAACTCTTTATTCCTCTCATTGGGGCTCATTCCTTCTACACAATGACTACCAAAATCACCCGCAAAAATGGCAGTGCAAAAATGTCCCAAATGAATGTGAATTGGGTTTTGATGTAGTGTGTGTGTGTGTGTGTGTGTGTGTGTGTGTGTGTGTGTGTGTGTGTGTGTGTGTGTTGTTTTTGCCGGACACATAGTTCCGTGTAGTTATCTAGGACGGGGTTTTCATATATTTTGACCACCATGGTAAGGCTCTTAGTTTATTTTGACCACTTCATCAGAAAAGGGAGAAATCTTATAACAACTCTTACATACAGAACACTTTAATAATATATGAATGATCTATATTTACGATCTGATTGCTTCGTCAGTCCTGTATCATCAAGAATTATAAAGAGGGTTTCATCTAGGCGAGTCTTGTTGAAGGAGATGTTAAGCCTAAGGACATTCGAAGCAGGTGGTGGAGCTCACTGGACCTCAAGAAATTAGTGGTATAATTTTTTTTTTCCATTTCCCTGTTAGCTATTAAGTCAACGAAGGCACTGTATGGCGTTTAGTTCCTTCTGGTTTATTTTCTTATATTGTGGCTGAAGAATTAACGTTGGCGGAGGAAGGTGACAATTTCTAAACCTTGTCAAACATTTTAGATGATATTTGGCTTCAAGTGCCACTAGGTCACCACTTGATATTTCAGCCAGAATTTAGGTGTCATGCATGTCAAGAGCCGTCTCACTTGGAGCGCTCTCAGCACATTATTTGCATACTCGTGGAGGTTGTGTGGGTGCTGGTGGCCACACAGAGGATACAAATGTTGTTACAGTTGCATGTTGACTGCCATCTTAGCTCACGTGTCTGTCTACTTTTGTTTTCTTCTCCCGATTATATTTTTCTCTCTCTCGGGGTTTTTTCTGATCAAATTTCAGGAAACAAGAGCGACGCCAGAAAGTTTTATATTTTGGGAAAGTTCTTACGCTGCTGTTCCCTCTGCTGCTAAGTTAATTTCCATTTTCACGATATTTTCTGGTTCTCTGAAATTCTCAACCATTTTGCGGGAATATGTTATATATACACTGAAGGACAGCCGTGAGTCGGTGGTCCCTGGCGTGTGATAAAGTCGCTGGTGTTTATGTCGGAAAATACAAAGCGTCCAATCAGCTGACGTTTACAGATCACCACTAAAATTTCCGGTTTTCCTGATGACAATATTGACAAATCCGAAAATCTTGAGAACGAAGGAAAAACATAAAGATGCCAAACTAAATATGTGACTTCTCAACCTTCTAATTATTGCTTTAAAAACATCAAACATACTTGGCATCACATCATGTACCTGAAATATTTTAACCCTGTCTTCCTCTTTTTACACACACACTCTCTTCCTTTCACTCCACTCATTCTCTCCCTCTCTGTAGACACTCTCTCCCTCTCACCACTCTCTCTCCCTCTCACCACTCTCTCTCCCTCTCACCCCATTTCAGATATACGGTTCAAGGACCAGCGGAAGCCACAGGGAGCACGCGAGAGCTTTATTTGGTCACATTAAGAAGGTCAATATTTGTCAGGGAGACATTCTCACGACGCATTATCTCTGGCATTTTGTTCACCTCCAGGATAATGGTGGTGAGATGTGGCCGAGAAATAGATAAAAAAACTCAAAATAAAACACACATAAAAAAACACAAGGACTTAAATTTGGAGTTTTTTTTGGTGTTATCTTAGAAAGTTTATATTTGTATTTTTTTTTAGTTGAGTTTGTCGATGAAGATGTAAAATAGCTAAAAGTTCAAGGTTAGGTTAGGTTAGGTTAGCCTCTCAGGGACATTTAGAGAGTGATAAGTGAATAATCCAATCATGTGAGTGTTTAGGAACCACTGGGTGATTTAAAACAATCATTATTTATCTTGTAGACTAACTTAATGGCCTCAGAAGGACATTTAAAACATATATAGTCTTTCTCTCCACTCTTATATGTTCCGGATTGTGATATTGTTATAATGGTGAACTATTTTCTTATCTACAATCAATCAATCATCTGAGGGTTGGCGACCACAATCCTCTGCTCTAAATGTTCTCGTGTAGTTTAATTTTTTTTTACCAATCCACTACTATCAGTTAGTTGAAATTAAATTAGTTGGGATATTAATTAGTTTTAAAGAGAAATTAAGACATAGACATAAGTGAATAAGAAGACTATATTATTCCCACTGACTCATCGGGGAGGAGGGGGAGACATTGAGCTGACTTTTCATGGTGTCAGACGTCAAAGCCAAGAGGTAAATCCCTACGTCTCTGTCATGATCCATACTGCTTCAGGTGACCGGGTACTGTAAGTCAGCTTTAGTCTCTCACTCTTAAGTTTCTTTTAAGCTGTCGCGTTATGGTGTAGAGAGACGTGTGTGTGTGTGTGTGTGTGTGTGTGTGTGTGTGTGTGTGTGTGTGTGTGTGTGTGTGTGTGTGTGTGTGTGTGTGTGATAGCAGTTTTGTGCATATGACAAGTTATTCATGAAGCTGTAGATATAGTGTTCATGTGTTGAAGGTGATGACAGCTGACTCACCTGAGTTGTGGCACTATAACACAACACTGTAGTGGAGTTGCTGTATGTACAGTGTTGTGTGTTGATACGTTCAGTGTACAGTGTTATGATATGTTCGATGTACAGTGAAGGGTGGTGAAGGATGGTGACAGTGTACAGTGTATGGTGAAGGATGGTGACACGTTCAGTTTATGGTGAAGTATGGTGACTACACTATAAGAGCCTTCACCATACGATAAACTCAACATTGCCTAAAATATCTCACAATATACGAGTCATCAAAGTCGGTGTTGTGGCTCTGGCGGCGGAAATAAAATGAACAATTTACAACAAAACGTGACACTAACGTCTCCTTGTACCACATTACGCCTAAAATACCCATCGGCGAACTGTCGGGCGGGTTCCCGACGGCGTCCTGGTGACCCGACTGTTGTGGCCAAGGTCAGGTCAGGTCTGGTCTCCATGTTACGGTATATAAACTGTAGGAGCTTCAGCTAGGTCTCCACACCATGGTCTAGGAGTTCTGGTCTGGTCTCCAAGCTACGTCGCATAAAAAAAATAAACTTTGAAACTTGCTTTGTATATTTTTCCGCGTGTCAAGTCTGTTGCTATT